TTCATACTGCCGGTTCCACGGACTGATGCTGCCCAAACGAAAAGTTCACTGTCAATCCCCAGGGATTGACGCTGCCTAAACAAATAATTTACTGTCAGTCCCCCAGGGTCTGACACCGCGCTTAACGTGGTAACAAAGGTCCGCAAATAAGCATGCATTGGGCTTATTACGCGCGTAAGACAGCCTGACGCGCTTTGCGCGCTGACGGTGTTACCTGTAGCAACGTATGGGAGAAACTAATATATAACAGTATATACTATAACATATATATAATAAATGGTGATTGCAGGAAACGTGCCGGGCTCTCTTATGCGCGTGAGACAACCCGATGCATACTTATTCGCGGATCTTTGTTAATTAAGATCTTAGTAATTATTGCGAATCTCGCAAAATAGTATAGGACTTTTCGACTCAGTTTTACCTTTTTGGTAATTTTGCAGATTAGGGGAGCCACCTCCGATTTCAATAATTTTTACATATGTGAAGGTCATTGTCCCGAGTAATAATGTGAAGGTTTTAGGCCGCGGACGTTGTTTGTTAAAAAGTTACAAGGCGAAGAAGTCTACTAAACAATATGCAGTTTCTCGACATCCTATGTATGAATATGTGTTCTGCAGTTGTACATGTACTGCGTTGGTACTGTTGTATAAATAATTAAATAAAACAAACATAAGATTTCGATCCCACGTACATTTCGTTCGCGTTTGAAGCGCGTAGGCAGGGGGGCTGTGCCCCCCTGCACCCCCCCTAAAACCTAACCTAACCTAACTTTCAAAAAGGGCTTTGCTCCTCTCCCTGCTTCCCCCTCGAAAACATAGACTTATATAATAGACGGAACATTTATATGACGAAGTTGAGAACAACATTAAAGGACAGAGATAGTGCTGGAGTAGTTGTCTCTCTCTCTTACAATAAAATGGTGGGGAACCAATTATCTCACAAGTCTATGCTATCACCTTTCACTATCACTTTCTCTCAACTGACTCTCGAACTCTATCTTCGTTGCTCTCGGCCTGCCGCGGCCACTAATCAACTCACTGCTAGAAAAGAAGAGAATTACTCCACGACTATTTCTGTCTCTTAACGAAGCTTCAGCTTCTCTTACACGAATGTTCCGTCTATTATATAAGTCTATGCTCGAAAATCAAGTACCCAGTTTTCACAAGAAGCGAATGTAATCGGAAGTCGTTATCTTTTCCCGAGGGAGGTTAGATTAGGTTAGGTTAGGTTAGGTTTGGGGGATGCAGGGGGCCGCAGCCTCTCTCTGCCTACGCGCTTCAAACGCGAACGAAATGTAAGTGGGACCGAAAAATAAGAATTCATTCATGAAACTTCTTCTCCTCGTAACTTTTTAACCTTTTCGCTCCGGGGATTTTTCCTTTAAAATTGACCTCGCATTTTAGCTGAAAAAGTTAATAATAACCTGCTACCCCCCCCCCTTCAAAGTTAATTTTGAAGGTCAAAGAAGTAACCAGGATTTTTTTCAATTTTTTTCCTATTTAGTGCATTAAATTGACCTTATAAACATCTATTACGTTCGCTTTTCTTGCTGGTCCATATATGGACCAGTCCCGGAGCGAAAAGGTTAACAAACAACGTCCGCGGCCTAAAACTTTCACATTAGTACTCGGGACAATGACCTTCACAACATATGTAAAAATTATTAAAATCGGAGGTGGCTTCCCTAATCTGCAGAATTATCACTTTTTTACCTGTCTACAAGAGATGTTACATCAATTTTGAGACACCCTGTAAATAAATAAGTGCACATGTATAGTTAAATGTACATATATATATACAAACTTTATATTTTCACATGATTTGTATAAAAAGAAATGATATATTTCCAATTTTAAAAGACTTCTAGTATTTTATTTTAACATTAATTTCTTATGTAAATGCAATAATTTTAAACGTTTTCATAACTCCGAGTATAGGTTTTACTATTTATGCTCTAGAAAAGAACAATACAGTCAAATCGCGTTATTGTTTGTTAAGTGAGGTTTATCTGCTTCACATATATAGACACATGTGCACTCAGTATGTTAAGTGCACATAGTGCAGTTAGTATTTCTGTTTAGAGTAAGCACCTGAAAAAGAAAGAGTGAGAGAGGAAAAATGAGAGATGAGATACATTATCTAAAGTTATTCTCTGGTAACTTGTAACCATGCAACATTTTGTTTATTTATAAAAAGAAATGCGTTAAAAACAGTAGAACATCTCTCAGATTTCTGTCTTCTCTGTTCCGTTCCGACCGTTGCCGTGTGAGAATCGTCTTTCTTGTGTCTCTGCCGTTTTTATATTTAATCGTGTCGCGCCGTTAAATGTTTAATAAAGCCTTGTTACAAGAAGACAGTGAATATTCTTATTTAATAACCACAACACTGTTAACACGTTTGTTCAATATACTCGCGTTAGTATTAACAATATCTTTCATCCCTACTATTCTTGAACTTCATCCGCACGCAGGTAATGAAATGCGCCGGATCATGCGCAAGAAACAAGCGCTACAAAACTCGTAATATGATTAGCTGACATATACAGTAAATGGAAGACAGAGAAGTTAACATTATCGAAAAGAAACGTGTTAACAGTACCACNATGTTAACAGTATAGAGATTAACAATAACGCAATTTGGCTGTATTACGATACAACAATCAACTGAAATTTGATTTGAATTGATCTTTCTTTAATTTATTTCCGGTAGCCATCTTGAACCGCCTATTAGGATTATATTCTCACCAGAGAGAAGCCTGAGAGCGGCCATGCCATTGTAGTTTTTTACGACGGTTTCAATCGCTGGTTTTAACCGTATTTCCACAAAAGTGGAACTCAAATGCCGTTCTCCATGAAACTCAAGTCGCAGGTCTCGTGGAACTGATCAATCACGTTGGTCGATTGGCTGATTTGACTCTGCAATTGGTCAATTCCACGAGATCTGTTACTTACGTTTAATGTAGAACGGCCTTTGAGTTCCACTTTTGTGGAAATACGGGTAAAACCAACGGTTGAAACCGTCGTAAAAAACTACAATGGCATGGCGGCTCTCAGGCTTCTCTCTGCTCTCACCATCGCAATGCTTCCTCCAGTCCTCCATGTCATGCAATGTCTTAGCAACGAGAGACAGAGAAACAAACAAGCGCGACGCGACTCAGCTTTTTGCGATCGGGAAATATAAGTAAATAAATAATTTTTTATATTAATCAGTGTGACGATTCTTACAGTAACGTACCGAACAACAAGCTGCCGCGCGCGCCAAAAACTAATAGAGATGGTTAACACAGGCCCACAAAATAACTTTTTCCTGTGCCATGAATGCCAGTATAATATTCCCATGTATTTTTTCCCGCTGAACACGAATCCGCAACCCGTTTACCCCATACACGTCAGGATTTTTTTCTAACCTCAAAAAACATCAAAACGCATGAAAATCATCAAAAACATAACTTTATCAATCGAATCATCCCCAAAACTATCTAACCCCACAACCCAATAACCTCTTAACGCCATTATCCCTCAATTCAATAACTCCATAACCCCTTAACCCTAAGACCCCATGTAGTGGAGAGATCTTGTACGGGAAAACCGAAAAATTCATGTATTTTTTAATAAGCCCATCACTTATACCAGAAACTCACTTATACCCTTGAAAAAGAAAAACTTCATGACAATCTGCTCTTTCAAACTCTTTTGTCCTTGAATGATCTGTGAAGCGGATTACGTTTGCGCTTCTTACCAATGTCAGCACTCTCTCTTTTCAATGTCCAGCAGTAGTCAGCCATGATATGTGCATTCCATGTACCGTGATAACTTTCCATTTCCTTCATATCTTGGTTTCGTGACTTCAGAGAATTGGAAAGTGGATCATTCCACACATCTTATGAAGCAATGTCATCATTTTCAGTGTTCTCTGAAGTAGCAGGATTTTTCATTATGACAATTAAACATGAGTAATGACATTTTTAGTCGTATGATTTACTTAGTATGTATGACAGAGAAATGTCTCAAGCGTTAAAAAGCATCCTTGTAATAAAGTTTTTCTTTTTCAAGGATATAAAGTTCCTGATATAAGTGAGTTATAGGCTTATTGAAAAATACACGAGATTTTTTGGTTTCCCCGTACAAGATCTCTCCACTACATAAAGTTTTAGGGTTAAAGGGTTATGGAGTTATTGAATTGAGGGATTATTGGGTTGTGGGGTTAGATGATTTTGGGGATGATTTGATTGATAAAGTTATGTTTTTGATGGTTTTCATGCGTTTTGATATGTTTTTTGAGGTTAGAAAAAAATCCTGACGTGTATGGGGTAAACGGGTTGCGGATTCGTGTTCAGCTGGAAAAAATACATGGGAATATCATACTGGCATTCATAACGCAGAAAAAAAAGCTTTTTGTGGGCCTGTGTAATATTGTGTTTTCTACAAAAGAAAGAAATGATAGCGCTGGTTGCACAGCCAAAGTAAAGAGAATTACAAGCAGCGCTATCATTTGTCTCTTTCGTAGAAAACACAATAGTATTACCCATCTATTAGGTCTTGGCGCGCGCGGCAGCTTGCTGTTCGGTATGTTACATTATCAATGTTGATTATCAATCAGCTGATCGCGGAGAGCAGTGGCTTCTTACCCCACGAGCGCTGCTCGCTCCCTTGCGTGCCGCCGAATATCGGCTGACCGTAAGATCCGCCGAGTCACGCCGCGCTTGATGTTTACTCCGCCTCTCGTTGCTAAGACATTACATGATATAAGCCATCTTTCTTATACTGACAATCACACACGCATACAGAGTCAAGACCATCGCTTTCCACGCGCTCATTGGACGCGCACATTTATGAATATACATCTTATTAACTATTGCGAATTTTGCAAAATGGCAAATAACTTTTTTATTCAGTTTGACTCAATCTATCTTCATACTTCGGCTGTGTCAAAATTTTTCAGACACTCTNTATAAAATGTAAATCTCAGTTTAACGTTTGCTAATCACTCAATCTACTTACTTGTAATTTTTTCATAAACACGTGCATACATTCTGTGGGTCCACTTATAACATTGCTTTTNCGACTGTTGCGGCATACAATTTCAATATCTGCTGGACATATATTTTTGAGAGTTTCGTAATCGAGATTAACAGTGGCCATGGATCCGCAAGGCACAATGTTTTCGACACATGCCGAAGCAATCAAGTACGCTGATAGAATAGTTTGTTCAATAGTGAGGCACTTATCTGCGTAAGCGCATCCAAGTTCTCCAATAGAATATCCAATCATGTTATCCGGAATAAGTCCCAAAGCCGTTANAAGATCTACTAATCCGATCTGCAAAAGTTACGTAATTATTCTATACATTTCAGCGTATTACATTAGTATAAAGTTATTTTTATTATATATATATACATAGTTTACGTTGTATTTTATATCTTACAATACAAAAAAAAGGCATCATTAACTTCTTTTATAAGTTGACAATATCATAATTTACCTGTATTGCAACGATANAAATCAATGTGTTCAAAGGGCTTTTGTCTATCTTTTCGTCTATTATTGTCATGATGGAAGTTACGCTTATATTATATGGTTTTAAAACATTATCGCATATTTCCATACTATGTGCAAAGATAGAAAATTTTAGTAAATGCTGACCTGCATAGTAAAGTTTAGAACATTATTATTTATATTATAGTAATTAAACAAAGTCCGCAGTTAAACAAAATAGTAATTAAACCGCAAGTAACAAAACCACAGTTACAAATACCTAGATTAAACCATTGTGAACCCACTCCAGAAAATATAAACCAAATAGGTCTTTTAACATTTGTATAAGTCTGAATTTCTTTTATCAAACATTGTTGCATTTTATTGAGTACAATATATCCTCTCCATAAATTATTGTCTATATTANAAGCATAAACGTCATGCAGTAATCGAATATACTCCACGTCTAACGGATAGTTTGCGATCTATAAGCAATTATTCAAACAAATATTTCTCACAGACTTTAATACAAGATATATATGCACACAACTTCTGCTTGATTAAACATAACGTTTTGTGTGTACTTACGTCTTCCAAAAACGAATGCACTGATTCTTCAGTCCTTCCAGATATAGTGACAAGTCTCGGCAAATCATCATTTGGTGTACTATTATTGATCTTTCTTTTAGGGTTCCACTTTAATAGTAAGTGACTATTGGCTCCTCCAAATCCGAACGAGTTTATGGCTATGTAACCGTTTGTAAGACGCGTTGATTCCGTGACAACACGTATAGTTCCATTTCTGAAAGATTCTATGTCCTGTCGTGGTGATGTAAAGTGGATCATTGGCGGAATAAAGCCAGTTTCCATTGCGATTATCGCCTTCAAAAGTGTAAGATATAAAATCTTAAAATTTTTTTGAAGATTGATTTGTTTATTAACGTGATTTAAAGTTACGATTTATTTTATTTTTTCTACTTTTATTACAAAGCTTTTTCTATATATATTATAGATATAAAACATTTTGTTACTTTACCTTGGCGATTTGATTCATACCGCTGGCTGGTTCAGCATGACCAAGACTGGATTTTATAGATCCAATTAACAACGGAGTCTTTCTTTCTTTACAGAAAACATTAAAGAGAGCATTAATTTCTGGCGGATCACCAACTTTCGTGCCAGTACCATGTGCTTCAACGTATTCCACATTAGTTGGCGATATCTCGCACTCTTGATAAAACTCAGTTAATAATTGTGTTTGCATACGTTCCGATGGGTATGTTATTCCTTCTTCTTTGAATCCATCGCTGTTCAGTTTAACATGTTTGCATAAAGCATGAATTCTTTTCGCGTTTTTTGCCTTTTGAAGATATAATACCGATACAGTCTCACTACGAGTATAACCATTTGCGTTTACATCAAACGGTCTGCAATAACCTGTTGATGACAAAACACCTAAAATCAAACATATTACACATGAGAAANCGCATTTTTAGAATATATCCTTTATTTGTATACATATTGTTCTTTTTATATTGTCCTTTTTTTGTATACATATTAAAACAATAAGCGAGTTTATTGATATTACCAAGACGAAAAAATTGCATAGTCGTTGTCGGATGTAGACACAAATTTCCAGAAGCAACAATAGCTTCTTCACATTTACCAGATATGATGTAGTAATAAGCAATTGCTATAGCATGAAGACTAGAGCTACAAGCGCTATCAACTATTTGAGATGGTCCTTTCAGATCCAGCATATAGGAAACTAAATTTGCCATTGCAACTCTANAAGAGCCAACAATATTCATACCACCAATCTAATTATAAAATGTGGTTTAGTAAAGTTATTATTTTCATTATCAAATAAGTATAAATACATGTGTATGAACTGTTATATTAATCAATCACTGTAAATATTTTTTACCTGCAGGTCTCGATACATAAGCATCTCTTGCGACTCAAAAATAGATAGTCCTACGATTGTAGCAATATTTTTTCCTCGTAGTTGCATTGGATTAATCCCTGCGTCAATAATTGCTTCATAAATATGCTCCAATAATCTTCTAAGTGATGGATCAGTTGCATTAGCTTGNATATCACACATATTGAAAAAGTCCGCATCAAATTTGTTTAAATTATTAATCACTCCCATACGTTGTGGTACTTCCGAATGTTCTATAACAGATGATACAATGTCATAGCATAGTGATACAATGTCATAGCATACTGATTTATGTATCTTCATACAGCACAGAAAATATTACAGCTACAATGTTGAAGCAGTGTTGCAACGTTACAAGTTACAATGCATTACGGAAACATTAGAAAAAATATACCTTAAGAGGGTACTAGATACCGACTATAGAGACCTGTAAACCGACTTTCTCCTATGACGTTTGGTGTCGTATTTACTTCATTAAATCTAAAATGCTTCTACAAAAATAAGTAAATTGTGCTAAGGATTGGCGCTTGTTCTTTGGAATGTCAAAATTCAGCATAAATTTTTTCTTATACAG